CAAGAACAAAACGAGTCTCTCAGAGGGGGAAAAGATGGTATTTCTAGTTAAAGAGTGACGCAGCTACTAACGCATGCATTGATTTACTGAGCAAAAAATATTAATAAAAAGCATAAACATTGGTTAGTATTGTGTGTGAGTTTTGTTTGCATGAATTGTATTCTCTTGGAGTTATTCAAGAATAAAGCAAGAAAATCCCATTTTAAAACTCCAAAATCGGTCAAAAAATCCCAACCCTCCTCTGTTTACTTAGCAACAATACAAATGAATGGAGGTTTGCCCACGCCCACGCTTCCGTTTCCAATCCCTTTCATTTACTCTATTATCTATGATATTTGGGAAGAAAATTTTTTACATTGTTTACTCGTTTTCTAATTTATTTCTGCTCCTTTGGAAAAATATATTTCTGCAGTCGTGTCCTTGCTTGCTACTGCTCTATTAGTCTATAAAAGATGATTGACGTCTGCCAGTGGAGAGCCAGTATTGGGATTTGGAACTGCTGTCAAGCAGCTACTGGTCGTCGCAGTCATCATGAAAGTGAGAAGGAGTCTTTACCTACAAGGGATTATACATCTGGAAGGAACAAGGCTCCTGTTTTTCAAGCATCAGCTGTGGATCTATTATCTTTTATTGTCTTTTTCATTCTTTTATTCTGTGCATCAAGACTCACTCCAACAGGTAGGCCATTACATGACCAATGAGGTTTGTATTAAAATAGAATGCATATATAATGTAATTATAATCTAAATGAAAAACATTGGTGATCATGGGTTAGCTTTTGCATTGTTAGTGATGCTGATTTGTCAACATGAATAAACTTACTGTAGAAAATTAGATCTAGATAAAATATTTTTAATAACACAGTGTATTCTTAATAGGTCACTGTAGCTCCTTCCAATTGCTTGTTGGTGATGATATCTCAAAGTGGCTTCAGTTATATGTGGGAGTTAGTGTCATTGGCAGTTTTAACTTGTTCACAGTTTCATTTCATTTGTATTTCTACTTTCTCTTGATCCTCCTATCAGGAGATGTGGAACTCAATCCTGGTCCTGTAACAGGTAAGAATGATAAAGAATCTAAATACATGACCTAAGTTACAATGTTTGTCAATCACTTTTGCTATAGGTAATCCAGATGCTCCCAGTTTATTACGTTCTAATTTTGATAAGCTGATTAATGCAATTTCCGCTAACCTTTTGACAGTGACTAATGTACTGTATGCTAAAGGACTGATACCAAAGGAGACTCATATTGAAATGCATTCAAAAACAACTGGATTGAATGAATTACAAAGAGCTGGATTGCTACTCATTGCAGTTCGAGGACAACTGGAAGCATCTACCAGTCCAAACCAATATTTGATCAATTTTTGCTATATATTATTAAGCCAAAAGTGTGATTCACTAACGAATATTATTGTTCCTATTTTAAAAGAACTAGGTGAGTGTGTGTATGTCATGAGAATTGATAAGTTTATGATATTCTCATTTCATTTTAGGTGAACCTATATCTGATGATCCTGAAGTCACAATTGTTCTTCCACCTGATTATATTCAAGAATATGCTGAGATATTGAGGCAGAGGTATAATCTGCAACCCATTATAGCTGAAGACTGGCCACCACGAGTTGGAAAAGACTTCTTTGGTAGATTGACACTAATAGAAGGCCAGGATATGATCAAACAAGCAGAACTACAAGTACATTGGCACATGTTGAGAGGAGAAGTTGATAAAATTCCTAACCTCACTGGAAACAAGGAAATTAAAACAGAAGATTTATTAAAAACTAAAGATTTTACTCTTCTCAAGAAAAATAAAGATGTATACTCTTCTCAAAATATAGTAATTGATGGTCCTCCAGGAATAGGCAAAACAACACTGTGTCGTAAACTGCTGAACATGTGGTCAAATGGAGTACTAGGCTGTCTATTTGACTTGGTACTTTACTGTCCTTTGAGAATTAGCAAGGTAGCCCAAGCTAAAAAATTAGAGGAACTTTTTCAGTATGTTTATAAATGTCCTTCTATACCAAAAATAGTTGACTGGGTTTTAAAGGAACATGGAAAAGGGCTGCTAATAATTTTTGATGGATGGGATGAGTTAAGTATGCAACACAGGGAATCTTCACTAGTTACTGAAATTATTTGTAAGACTCAGCTTGCAAAATGTTCAGTAATTGTTACCTCTCGTAGCTATGCCTCTGCGTCACTTTTAAAAGCATTACCGTACGTTAGTAAACATGTTCAGATCATTGGATTATCCACAAAAGAACTATCCACAGTAATTATAAAAACACTTCAAAAAGATTCAGATTTAGCAGAAAAACTTATCAATGAAAATACAAACAATGAATTCTTCAAAACTACTCAATATAATAAGGACTCACAACGAGCAGTGAAACTCATTAATGAACTCAAAGTACGAGGTGATGTACAGTCTCTGTGTTACATTCCACTGGTTTGCTCCATGGTCATCTTAGTTTATTGTAAGGCTGGAGGGCAGCTACCAACAACACTCACTCAACTGTATGAAAACTTTATTTTACAAACTATTCAACGCCATATAAAAAGGAAGCATGGAAATGACCCAGAATCATTAGCCAGTCTTAATAAATTACCATCACCATTAGCTATGGCTTTCAAAGAACTCAGCTATTTAGCTTATTCTACTCTTGCTGAGGCAAAAATGACTTTTTCTTTACATCAACTAGACCTGTCTGTGGCCAAAGCAACAAAGGAGGATTATCTTGGATTGCTCACAAAATTTGAAGAGTTTGGTGAGAAGAAGTATCAGTTTATTCATTTAAGTATACAGGAATTCTTAGCTGCTTGGTGGATTTCTAAGTATGGCAACACTGAGAAAATTTTCAATTATTATTTTGACAATGAACACTTTAAAATGTGTCTGAGGTTTGTAGCTGGTCTAACTCATCTTGAACATGAGACCTATCAACAGTATTTTGAAAAGAAAAAACAATTACAGTGTGAGAATAGTCCACTTAGAGAATTTGAAACCAGTCACCGTCAATGGTTTTATGGATCAGTTCAACATGCAAGAGGTCTTGATTTTGAGGAACTGCAAGTTTTACTTCTCCAATTCCTATACGAGTCTCAAAATGCAACATTGTGCCAATTATTTGCATATTCTATTGAAGGCCAATCACTGTGTCTTAATCGTAAGGCTGGTATTGGTAATTCAGTCATCACTAAGCTTTCATTGTTTGAATGGTTGTGTTTCAGTTATCTCATTAATAATGCAGAATGGGATCAGTTGGACCTGCATGAATTAGATGAGCAATCATTATCAGTACTGACTACTGGATTAAGCAATAATTCATTGGTAAGTCAGTGCAGTGCAATAATTATGCGAGTTCAAAATGTTTCTGATGGTAATTTATTGCTTAATTTTTTTGGAAAGCCATTACTGCATAATATTCAATCGATAACAGCTATATTTGACCGCAATAAATGTGACTTGGTTCCTATATTGTTAAAGTTAGTCACTTTACTTCAACTCAAAACGTTGACTTTTGGTGGAGATATTTGCACAAATGATGAGGCTACCTATATTAGAAAATGTTCTGAGCTTGAACGATGCATCAAAACAAATTCAAAATTACAAAGACTTACTATAGAAGTGATTACTGATACTTCATCTGAGAAGAAACTTCTTGAACCATTTATGGCTTGTATTATTAGAGGAATTGCCCAAAACAGAGTAATAGAATCATTCACATTTATGGTTAAAAAACTGCAATATATTGGTCTTGATCATCTTGCTCTAACTGATAGTACTATATTAAAGAACTTACTAAAGGACAATAACACAATAGAATCTCTTTCACTGCACATACCCAACTGTTTTATTCCATTACCAATAAATAAAATAAAGGAAACATCAAAATTGACTGCTCTAGAGATAGGAGGTAGTATACTAATAAATTCACTCCTTCCATGCATCAAAGGATTAAAATGTCTGATACTTCCTTTGCCATATCCACCATGTCTCATATTCAACTCTTATCCTCATCTACACAACTTACTCTACAACTGGATACAGCTAAGAGTATCAATGAACTCTTTACTATTTTACAGACCAACACCACTCTTAAAGCTCTGAGAGTGGAAGTTGAGAAAGGAAGCATCTACACAATCTGCAGTATTGGTAGACATACTAGCCCCTACAGCTATTATATAAATTACTACAACACTACTTATAAAAAGTGCATGAGTGCCAGTTCATATATGTCTATCATGACTACTGGTATCATGCATAACACTGGTCTAAAACAGTTGAGTATACCTGTTTACCTTCCCATTACTAACAAAGAAATGAGAAGATTCTTAAATGTCATCTCCCAAAAGCATATCACAGAACTTGAAGTTTGTTTCCGACTGGATCAGACATGTTACATTCAAAATGACGAAAAAGAAATAATGAAATCTTTTTTCTACAAACAAACATTACCTGATATTTTTGATATGCTACGATCACATGCAAGTATCAAAATAATGAGTATAGTGTGTGAATATCTTAATGAGTCATCTGATACTAATACAACAGAAATAGAGGATTTATTCCGTCGTACCTCATTCCCATCACTCAAGCAATTGGAAATCAAAAGAACACAAAGTGAATGTATGATCAAGATTTTTACAAAAAGTGTAACAGCATATCGCCATGTACATGTAATCTCACGTAGCCGTCAGACACATCCCCGAGTTCGTGAAGTAAAAATGTACATACATTAATAATACTATGATATTTATAAATGCTTACATTACTATTTTGTGTGTAATATTGTACTTATACTTACTACTTAGGCAAATTAGATCTTCTGCATATTTGTTATTTGCAACAATTATTATTTATTAATATGTAGTAAAAAGCAACTAATTATTTGTTTCTCTGTAAAATTCTTTTGACTTTTATTCATTTTATTGCTAAAGATATTATTTTGCTACTTTTTATGTAAATTTATAGTTAGAATTATTGTTTAATTATTCTTGTTCCAGTTCAACCAGTACTCCATCACAATCCTTAGGATGTACGAACACAACTGGTTTACCATGAGCACCAATCTGAGGATATCAATGACCATATATGATACTGTATAGAGGATGTTAGGGTCTTACTTTTGGTTCTGGATTCAATGCTCTTACTTTACCCTTCAATGAATCAATTGCTTTATGTATATCACTAACCTATAGTATACAGTGGATGTTAATGATTATTAGTAGGATAAAATTTAATGCAATGAAAAAGATAAATGTATAAATTTTTACATATAAACTTAAGTTGTACTATCTTAAGAATGTTAGAGTAGTATGGTGGGTTTGTTTTTGCTAAGTGTATGTACACGGACTTACTTCAAGGCAGATGTGGTGTATCCCTCCAGCTGGGTTACGTTTTAAAAATCCCTCAATGGGGCTGTTCTCCCCTAATGGATGCAGTAACTATAAAAGGAATAAAATGAATGATCACTGTGTTAGTTCTTAAACCACTTCTTCTATTCTAAATAACTAATGTATGTGTGTGAGACATACCTCAATCTTTGTATCACCAAGTTCAACAAATACAGTATAAACACCATGTTCAGGTAATGGCTGCAAGTATGTGTTGTGTGTGTGTATTCATATGTGTAAAGGATAATTAAATTTAGATAATCATATTCTTTAATTCTCATATTATTAATATTGTTTTCTCTCTCTCTCTCTCTCTCTTACAAACGCACTGTTGATTTGCTGACATTAGCTCCCAGTATGTCACGGTAAAGAGAAGTTGCTTTCTCTAGATCAGGGACAGCAATAGCTACATGATTGATTTTACCAACACTCCATGATCTTATTGTATCGCTACTGATAGATCTACTCCTAATGGACTATAATGCATGCATATATTAAGAGGTTGTGATCAGTGATATTATTACTAACAGCGACAAACATAATATTCATGCTTAGATTTTTAAATTCCACCCAAGAATTCTGGATATCAGCTCAAAATTGCAATCAAGCCCACACATTTAATCTAAACTAAAGCTCACACAAAATTTGCAGGAGAATAGATATATCTACATGTCTATCCATACTCACATTATATTCTGATGAATTTGAGGTCAAACTAGTTCTCAGAACTCTTTTAACTGATGGAGAGAATGCATTTCTCACACAAAACATTTTCAAACACTGACTGGGCGAGGCTAGAGCCTTTAACCTCCACACTCTCCACACCTCCTGTCCTGATGAGCTCGTGGTTGTCCTTCTGCTGACAGAGAAAAGGATCATGAGCTCGGATAAGAAACCATTCACTAGACTCCCAACTGATGTAGTTCCTGTCAACTATACGCTAGAACTGAAGCCTGACCTGCAGAAGTTCACTTTTGCTGGGAAAGTTTGCATTACATTAAAAGTGAGACTGAACAGCATAAAGTTACAAGCCCATTGTACTATGTTTATGTCCTTATTGTACTGTATTGTTAGGTTAATACTCCTACAAAGACAGTATGTCTCAATTCTGCTGATATTGAAATATCTAACGTCACCTGTGGAGATCAAGGTAATTATGGCTGGATTGATTTAGAATTTATTGATTATTCTTGCTTGCTATTATATATACAAGAGATATATTATCATGAATAGTTTGTGGTCGACAACTTTCATTATTTTTTCATATAGTGAAAGTTTGTTTTGCCAATTACTACAGCAATCAATCATGTATCATTATTATTATCATCATTATTATTATTATTATTATTATTATTATTATTATTATTATTATTATTATTATTATTGCAGTTGGCACTGTTAGCTATCAGAAAGAAGATGAGAGAGTTTCGTTTGATTTTCCTCAAGAAATATCATCACCTGAGGCTACACTGAACATTGTCTTCACTGGAATACTCAACGACCAGATGAAGGGATTCTACAGGTCAAAGTACACACGTCCTGATGAACCTGATGTTGAGAGATATACAGCTGTGACACAATTTGAAGTGAGAGACAGAGAGTGAAAGAGAGAAAGGAAGAGGGAGAAAGAATAAGAAAGAATATCAGTGATAGTAACAAAGCATGATGTAACTGTTTTTACAACCTCAACCTAGGGAGTTATATTGTGGTCATATTTTATCCAGCCCCCATCATGTTTTCTTGTTACAGTTACATAATGTCTCCTCTTCCTTTAGCCTGCTGATGCTAGACG